TTTTACTAAGCTGTTTTTTTTTAATCAGTCAGAGACATTATACTCCTGCCAGTGTATTAAAACTGATAGACTGAAGCAGGTTGAGTACAGTGGGTTTATAAGAGCAGTTTTGCCCAAAATAGCTTCCTGCTTCATCTGGAAAAATTCTGATGATAGCAGTGATGGTTGTAGGCTATATAATATAATCTGAGCTGAAAGATGCTAAAATGCTTCGTAGAGATGTGATACCTTTCATGTTACATGTAGTCTAAATAATGGTATAATGTTTACTGTAGGATAAATCTTCTGGGGACCGTGAATGTCAGTACCAAATTTTATGGAAACCCATCCATTAGTTGTTGTGTTATTTCAGACTGTTAGACCAACAATGCCATCCCACTAGCCATGCTGCTAGTAGCATCTAGTGGCCATTAGAGGAACTGCAACTTAAAATATATTTTTTGTGTTAATTTATGGCATGTTCAGTTGTTCCAGGTTTAATAATGGGAATATTTGGTTAGGCAGGTAAATGATGCATTCAATGCTACCAATATTAGCACCATTACAAACCTGGAAGCAGGTAAATGGTGCGTTATGTGGTATTGTGGAAAATTACTGCAATAAGGAGGGCTGTGGTGGGAATAAATATTTGCAGCTTTAGTGAGGTTGTGCCTGTAGACCTTTCACTGAGCCTTGTGGAGCTGCATTCATTGTTGGTTTCAGTCAGCATGCGTGGGAAAGAGGAAACCCAATATGCTTTCCATTTTATGCTTGCATGAATTAGGAGATGTCGTGGACAATAAAACCAACATTGCTTGCTATAGAGTTTAGGCAGTCGCAGTTGACCTCTATTGTAGTTTGTAATTAGGAATAAAGACAGCCCTGATGCCGCTCCTCTTGTCCAATTGCACTTTGGTTGACATCTGTGGTCCACAGCCTGGAAACTGAGCACTGAGCAAACTTGGGAGTAAAAACAAAGACATTCGTGTCTCAGGAAGTAAACATCTAGTCCACTCATGCCTTATGTCCCATGTTGATAGTTGATTGACTTGTGGGTTTGTTTTTGCCAGCTTGTCTCTCCTACATCTTGTCAAGGTCGTTTTTGTGATTGAACCCTCCTCCTTTCTTTTTCTCTGCGCTCTGGCCTCCACTCGTTTGGGTTTGTGGTGGAACTGAGCCTTGCTTCATAAAATTTTCCATCAACAGCAGCAAATAACAACAGGGTCAGATGAGGAGAGCGTGGCCCTCAGCACGCACTACGGAGGCCAGGGCAACGGGCTCTGGTTTGGCCTGTCCCGTGGAATGCTCTCTTCTTCTGCATTTGAGTAGGTTAGCGTTGGGGGCACGGTGAAACTAAAATCTTCCTTCCGTTGATATCTGAGGCATCATCTGCCATCAGTTGTCTTGACTGAGATGTGTATAATTGCTTTCTCACATGCCATCTTTATTCAGAGAGCTGGTGACAGGCTGGATGATTGTGAAGGTGGGATGTTGGCTGGGTGCCTTAGGGTGGGAGATGAATAAAGAGTTGAGGCATTAATCAGAAGCCTATTTCATTTCAGCTATTTTGCATGCGTGTTCTGAACAGTTGTTCAGTTGTTGTTGTTGTACTGGTATTGTGTGAAGAGGAAATGGGTGGTAAAGCTTCATTCTGCCAAGAAAATTGTACCTTCACTCAGTTTTCTCAAGGCACTGAGTGACTGCCATTCTAACACTAACACACCCTGCTTCCCCTCCAAATGAGGCTATTGATGATTAAGTTCCTTCATCGCCTGCAGGACTGTATGTGACTTAACCAAGTCCCCACTCCCCCACTGGAGAAAACCATCCGTGCTGTTTAGGCCTAGCACCATGTTCAGCACATTCCACATAAATAGAGAGGGGATTAAATAAACATTACCGTCTGTCTCTAAATGAGTTTACAAAGTAATTATGCATAATGGTAGATCATTAAGTTTGATTAATAAGGGGTTTTATTGTTGTGCTTGTCAGGATTGGCTTGTGTTTCCGTGTTTATGCTCAGTCAGCCCTCAGAGGAGCACAAGCTGATGAGTCCTGAGGCTCTGCTCTGGGTTTCGTCAAATTGTGCCCAAACAAATTTACATTTCCATTCCTTTACTCCTACTGAGCAGATGGTCTTTGTTTTAAATTCAGCTGGGAAAGCCTGGTAGACGTTTGGGCCATAACCAGAATGGAAAACTACTGAAGACATTTAATAAGAAAAACCTCATAAGACCACTTATGAATGCGTGAATTACAACTCTATTTTTGCATTTTAGTTCATATATGTTGCTGAACAGAAATGTCGTATTTCCTATTTCCTTTTTTTGGGATCTGAACAGATGCAGGCCACCCTGTGCAAAACATATCCCCATGTTGTTTGCTGGCCTACAATGAAACACACACACTTGCACACACACAGTACCTCCAACAGCTTTAACATCCCCCATCACAAAAATAGTCGTTAGTTTAATGACTCCCTGTGTTACAATTAGCCCTTTTCTGTATGTGTCTGATTTAACATTGTTCAAAAAAAGTCCAAATGAGTCCCCTACGTTGATGGGATTTGTATTGTGTGGTCCACGTCAAACTGAGAGCATATGGCTGCAAGATCCGTGGTGAACCATTTTGATTAATACAGTGAGTGACTTAAAAGAAAGTAGCGCGGTTTAAGCAACTAAAGAAACCTGAGTTTCATGAGCAAATCCCCCAGCAGACATGGCAGTCACCCAGACGTTGTTTCCCCTTTTCTCCGCCTGGCTATAATCCGGAAAAATGGATTTCAAAACCACAAAGACATATTGGTTTGCTCAAACAATCATTTTTTTACTACCAATCACCAGTCAGTTTTGTACCAAAGAATGTGGCCTGTGTCATTCATTAAAGTCATGTTACACAGGATCCCTGTGTTGTCCCAGCCTTTCTCTGTGTGAATAATGTACCGATAGCTGCTGGGGTGTTTGAAGTATGGCAGATGACCCTTGGTCTTCGTTGACTCGAGAGCTGACATACGAGTGGATAAGGTCTCCCAGCTCGTGCCATGAACAGCTCTTCATTAGTCTCGTGTCATGAACTGTTTCCTATCAGTTAACACACCGGCGTCTGGCTGCATGATTGAGCCAGCCAAGTTTCCGTTGTTTCACTTCATCAAGTGATAACACAGAGGAACTACCCTGAGGAGTCTATTGTGCAAGAGGTTTGGCGTCAAAACAACGGCAAAGAAAGCTGAAACAGAGTGACATGGCTCTGCACTGATCCACCTGTCACCGCTACTGATGAATTGCTCACTGTGATCCGTCTCACAGACAAACTATGACAGAGCGTATCATTTTTCCTGTCTGACCCAGCCTGACTCACGCTCATTCACCTCCTGTTCCTGTACTTGCCATTCACACATTCACTTTCCCTGTCTCAGTCTCTGCTCCCACACCCACTCTGTCAGGTGTGAATCCTCGAGTATGAAGTGTTGTCTGAATATTTTGGCTGATGGATTGCTCTCTGGAACAGGAGCTAGCCTGCTGTTTGACTGACACGCCAGAGTGTATAAAATCAAGTAATGGCTGTGCAGCAGGATGTTAGGGATTTTTATACAGCCCTCCAAGATAGCTGGAATGCCCTCAGGTCAGGGCTCTGGGAAGACAGAGCAGCTGTTTTTAAGGCATTTTGGGAATTCCTGCCCCTCCCTTTGTCAGTGTAGAGGTCGAGAGATGAACAAGAGATATATGCCCTCTCTTTTAAAAGGGTGCTCATAAGCTGTATGGCACGTAGTGTGTCAGTGGAGTGTGGGTATCTTGATTTAATGTGTCATAATGCACTTTAAACAGAAGATAGCACATTAGTACTGATAAAAGCAACATACTCCCACAAATCATGACATCTGAGGCCAGCACTTAAGTGTGTGTGTTTGTAGGAGATGGGTGATGTGACCCCATGTTGTTTGATCCTACATTTGATGTGGTAACACGGTGCTGGGAGGCGTCTGCTTTAATCATAACTCTGTGGAGAGAGATGAGACAGATGAAGCTGGTAGTATACGCTCTCATCCCTCCTGGTTCCCCCAGGAGGTGGTACAGGGCCCAGGCGTCTGCCCAGACACACCGGCCTCTGATTGGAAGGAGGGAAAGGGTGTATCTGATTCCCGTAACACGGCGTCTTGTCAGTGCCTCAGGGTGGCTGATGTGTGGCAGATATGGAGGGTTTGTGTGCGTGTGTGTGTGTGTGTGTGAGTGTGTGAATGAGTAGTTATTGATGTTAGTTAGGTTGGCAGGCCTCTATCATGTCTTGCAACGGTATATTTAAATTCAGGTATTTGTCAAGAAGAGTAATGGCCAAGAAAAGAAAGCAGACATAAATCTGAGTAAGGATTCCTATTGCCTGTGGTCCATAATGTAAGTTTTTGCCTTTACTAAAATATTAATTTCATTTGGCAAGAAGTGAAATAAATACCCAGCGACAAGACAATAGTGAAATAATATGACATATTATAATATAATGTGAAAATTTCAGAACCCTTTCTCTGTATAGCTCTGGAACTCCAGGTACACAAGTTAACCATAAAATCTACCAACACCCCTCGATCTCAACAATGAAGTTGGTGAGCGTTACATCTTATAGGAATGATGGCCAAACTACCCAGACTAGAAATACCTTGCACTTATCTTTGAAGCACTCTCTCTAATTGTGACTGATAAAAGTCACAATTAATTGAATGCATAGATGTACACTGTGACAGTAACCAAAAGTAAGTATTGCAACAGTAAATTAAGATGTGTATCTACAGGCAGAATAAAAAGTTTAAAAAGTCAGTTTCTACTCTGGAGAATGCTTCTTGTACAGTATTTATTACTCAACATAGTGCAGTTTGCTTAAGCAATAGGATGGCATTTGAACAGTCTACAGGCTACAAAGGGAGGATTTTGGTGTCTTTGTTCTCATTTACCGAAGGACCAGTGTGTCACACTTGTTCTGATTGGCACAATTATGTTGAACTAACTAAAGTTGTGATTCACCTCCTCTACCAGGTGGTTCTGTGAAGGCCGTGAGCTGCACAACTCTCCTGACATACAGATCTTGAGGGATGGTGACCTGCACACACTGGTGATTGCTGAAGCCTTTGAGGACGACACAGGACGTTACACCTGCGTGGCTTCCAACAGTCTCGGAGCAGACAACACCTCTGCTGAGGTTTACATTGAAGGTCAGACGTTTTCACATCAGGAAATTATTATATATTTTTTAAGGCATTTATATAGTACTAATTTTAAAACCAGCAGCCTCTGCTGATCTCCACATTTCAGTATATATGAGATTTCATGGTGGCTAACCTACTGTAATGTTTTGCTGCACAAAAGGAATATTGCGTTATAACACAAATCAGGGCTGCTAGTCTTCTAGCACAACTGAGCTATTTACTAGGAATCTGTTGTTGATTTGTTATTATTATTAGCATTTTCTGTTGTTGCAGAGATGGGGTGTATCATATAGGAATCATTTTGTTTTGTCCCATTACAGGAGCTTCGTCATCAGACTCAGAAGGAGAAGGAGCTGTTCCAAAGTCCAGATCAGGAACCATGCCTCAGTACGTGTGTTTCAGCATGGCCTCTTGTGACCCCATGACCTAATGAACCTTGAACAGGTTAACTGAGCCCTGCAGCAGCTAATCAGGTTTGCTGCCTTTAACTAGGCACTTAAAAGGCCCTTAAAGAGCCTTAACCCAGTACACAGGCCTCACTCTATATAATGAGAGGTGCAGAGGGTTAATATGGTAAAAGAAAATCACCCTGTCAGGACTGTCCTCTGCACTTACTTCCAAATGTTAAACTTTTGACCCTTTTCCTGCTTTCACTCTCTTCTTTAGTTTGTCTTCCTTTTCTCTTGAATCATTTCGCGTCATTTGAAAAATATGATTTTTTTTTTGTGCTATTTTTTTCAATTTAGCAATAACTAGACTGACAAAAATCTGTCTACATATATGTTTATTTTCATGTAGACTCATATTAAAACATTTTTGTAATTAAAATAATGCATTTGGAGGAATGTGCAATCCATATGACAGTACCCGCTCATGAGTGCTTTCTGGTTCTCTAAATGTTTTTGATTATTATCTGTTGTGTAAATCTGCCTCCATCTGGACTACTTCCTGATTCCCTTTCTGTTTACACATTGAAGCCAAGATCACTGATATCATCTTAATTACTGGAGAGACAATTTTCTATGATTCAATTACCATATTTTAACTAAATATTTTTTTTTCCTTTTGTGTACATGCTGATTTATGCTTTCTTCATTTTAGAGTTCAGAAGAAGAGTACTTCAATGTCCCTGACTATACGCTCATCTTCGCCCAATATCCATGAGGTCCTTCCTCGTCGCTCCACCCTTGTCCAGTCCCTGTCTCAGCCCCCACAGCGGGTAAGCAGCTACAGCACACAGGAAAGTAGATCCACACAAGCTCATCCACAGTGACAAAAGCAGACACCTTTCTGAATGGTCTCCACCTGTTCAGAAAGTAAGTTTTTATGTTCTTCTAGATGCAGAGCCCAGTGTCGTCTCTGTATGGTGGTGATGTGTCAGCTCCTCCTACATTCACCAAGGTAAGTCAGAATACACAATATACAATACATACAATACAGTGGATATGTCATTCCAAAGCCGTGCAGCTGAAACAGGCTCTACCCAAGGGTGGATTTTGTAACCTGGCTGCAGGGATTTGCTTCCATTTAGCCTCAAAAGCATTAATGAAGACAAGCACTGACATTGGGCGATAAGACCTGGCTTGCATTTGATATTTCAACTCCTCCTAAAGGTCTTTGATTGGACTGAGGTCAGGGATTTGTGCAGGCCAAGTTCTTTCACACCAGTCTTGAAAAAACATTTCTTTAAGGAATGTTTTTTGGCATGAAACAGAAGGGACCTTCCTCCAACTGTTGCCACAAGGTTTGTAGCCTACCATTGTCTAAAATATTTTGTATGCTGTAGCATTAAGGTTTCCCCTAATTGTAACTAAGGAACATAGCCTAAACCATGAAAAACAACCGCAGATACATACACACTTACATAGGATACATCATGCATACAACACATACACGCATACAGTACATGTACTTAGTGTCCTTCCCATAATAACAGTATACGGTGCTGTGGCTTTCAGCAGTGGGGGTCAGATAAAACATAAGCTTTGATGAGAGCTCCTCCTCCAGCTCAGACTCTTCAACACAGCCCCCAACTTCTTCTCCCTCAGACTGTGGGTCTTGTGATGGTGGGACTGAGACGGGCTAAGGCAGAGCTTCAAACGGCCCTGCCAAACCCACAAGGGTCAGGTCTCTTTCACTCTCATTCAGCCAGTCAGGCCCTAAATCATTTTCCACTTCATTACAAAAAGACATTTGTTTTTCTTCACCCCCACCCGCCTCCTTTAAAAACTGCTACAGGCTTTAATCATCTCCATGAGTGGATGCTCGCCTCTAGTGAAGTCAGCACCGTGATGTCACCCATACAACACACCCACACACATCCACTCATGATGTATGTTCCATCCCTGGTCTTCCCAAAAATACACCCATGCCAAAGACACAGTCAGAGAGAGAAAGAGGCTCAGGCTCACAGGCATATTTATTAACACTGAGCCTCTTGTTGATGGATAACAGTGTCACTCTGGCCCTGTTAACTAGAAGAAGAGACAGTACAGTGTTGACAGTGGCTTCTCAATCAGCCCCTATGTTGATGTTGTTTTTAGCTATAAGCTGCCATATGATGGATTGGACACAGGAGTTAAATTGGTATTTGTAAGTAGAAGGTCCTGCAATTCTGAGTTTGAGTCCTCGCCTTTTTTAATTGCCCTAAAGCGCGTTTTTTACACATTTGTAGATGAATTCAATTCAATTCAGTTTTTCTGATATAGTGCCAAATCCTAACAGAAGTTATCTCAAGGCACTTTTCATATAGAGTAGGTCAACAATTATAACAATATTACTTACAGAGACCCAACAATTCCCACCATGGGCAAACACTTGGCGACAGCGGCAAGGAAAACTCCCTTTAACTGACAGAAACCTCGAGCAGAACCTAGACTCAGGATGGACAGGCATTGGCCTTGACCGGTTAGGTTGAAAAAGAGAAAGGTTTAACTGGAAGTATGATAGATAAGTGTGTAAGTGATAAGCACACAGCAAAGTCTTATCTTAGTTATCTGAACAGAGTGGCCAATAGTTTCCTACTTGTACTAAAAGCTAAATGCTAGCTTTAAGTTAATTATTTACTAAGTAAATATGTACACACACACGTTCAAAGAAACAGAAGGTGATCTGTAAAAATCTGATTTGGGAGAGAAATCCTCTTTCACAGACTTCCAAAAAGACAGGTATTTAACTGTCACTGATGATAACTAGGTGTTGGAAAGACTGACCTGTCAAATATAACTTGCACTTTCAATTCACATTATTTTCTAAAAAAATAAAAATAAATTTGGTGAAATACAGTATTTTGAGAAAGTAAACCTGAGGTTATGTCAGCTATTTTGATCAAAACAGATACTCATTTTAGAATAAAGCTGAAACAAATAGAGTCAAGAACAGTCAGATTTATGCCAATTTTTGGGTTACACAATGGCCAAAACTATTGGACCAGATAGATCCAATAAAATGTTTGTGGATATCAGGTTCTTGGAGGAAAGCTTCTTTGCATTCTAACAAATGATTGTATCTGTGATGTTTTGGCCTCTCAGTTCCTCGACAGTGCGTCATCTTCAGCAACATTTGTCTCCATCTACCCCGTGCTGTAAAACTGAAGCAGATTTATCATTGTCATTACCGGTTTTAGCCTCTTCTCATTTACTCACTCACTCCTTTTTTCTCATTACCTCCATCTTATTTTATCCCTCCTCTGTGCAGCTGCTGCAGGACGCCCAGGCATCTGAGGGCCAGGTGGTGGTTCTGGAGTGCAGGGTACGTGGAAGTCCTCCTCTGCAGGTCAGATGGTATCGCCAGGGAGAGGAGATCCTGGATTCCCCCGATTTTCGTATTCTCCAAAAAAGTGAGCTCTTCTTGTCATTTTAGCAGAGTTGTTTTCAATTTTTAGCATTAAATTGACAACTGATATATGCTATAACCAAAATCTTTCTGTTTGTCTTCCTTCATACCTATAATACACTGTGAATCAGAGCCTCGATCTGCAGCTGAGCCAGGTATGTTACCTCAATTCCTCCCAGGTCTATCTAATTATGACTCAGTCAATTACAACACTGCTTTCATGTACCCAACCGCAGTCAGTGGTTAAAATTAGTAATTGATTATTAGCAGTGTCTGGAGACTCAAATTTAGTTTGCTTTATTATCAGCTGCAGGCGTTCTCTCAGTTCTTATGACTGAAGCAAATCACAATTTAATCAGTCTAAATGTCTCACAGGACACTCATTATCACATTTACTTTATTCAGAGGGTGTCGTTGGGAAACCCCACCATCCACAAACATCAACACACACACAAACTCACAGCTAAACAATGACACACACTAATTTATGTCAGACTGTTTTCCACCTGTGTGACTCAGGGGTCACTTCAGGTGTTACTTTCAGGCTGTGAGTCACTCGGACGTCCCTGAACATCTGCTCTTATAATCAATATGTGTGTCTGTCCGTCCTTTATGAGTAGTTACATCCATGCCTGAACTGTGACTCACCGGTCTAGATAACATGTACATCAGTCTAGCGTGTGCATAACATATCCATCTAATGTCTCTATTACATGTCATTACAAACAAATCCAGCCTCAACATGTCACTCCACTCCATACCTGTGCAGTTTGCTGTTCATCGGTGTCAAGTCTTTTAATTCCACCTATATAAATCTAACTTTTCGGATCATAAACGATTTGGTCATTAAAGGCGTATTCATGGTGGTTGTTGTTTGTTTGTTTTTTGTCAGAGGAGATCTGCACCCTGGTGATAGCCGAGGCCTTTCCAGAGGATGGAGGTCTGTTCTGCTGCACCGCTTCCAACCCATATGGATCCATTAACAGCACAGCCCAACTCACCGTCACTGCAGGTGCGTAAGACACAGACAGAAAGATATGGGAAGCATGATGCCACCAGGCAGCGTCTGGGCATCAACAAGAAGCAGGCACCACAGTTGAATGTTGAAGCCAGTGTGGGATGGCCTTAAGATGCAGTTCCTGTCTATCCTAACTGCTGTTTCACTGAGTTGGGCCCGCGACACAAAGAAGGCTGATCCAGCACCCCAGAACCAACCCCCTCTTTGCCTGCACCCACATGCTCAACACAGCCCCCCGTTGAAAGTTATATTCACTTTTGTCTGAGACATCACCAACTAAAAGCATGCTAACCAACAACAACCAGCTAACAACATGTCACGCTAACTAGCATGTTGCTGTAAATGACAACATGTTGCTCAACCCTACCAAGCAACAACCAAATTATCATCCTTAGGTACCTTACCATAGCAAGCAACAAGTCACACACTCTACCTCAACAGTTAAGCATGCGAACAACATGTTAAGCTTGCTAGCATGCTGCCAAAGCCACCAAATAAACCAAACAACATTTTAAACCAGTCAATATTCACTATGTATTAGCATCTTGATAACTAATTGCACTTGAGTTAATGTTGAAGTTTTGAAAACTATTGTTCCATTCAGAGGATTATTATTTTTAGGAGGACATTAACCAACTTTTGTATATTGAAGCTTCAGTAACAGATGATGGTGGGAAGCATAAAATAGTCCTTCAGAAATGTGATGTCCTCAACTATACATTGTTGTTTTTCTGCAGTTAAGGGGCATTTAACAGAACAGCCTTGCTCAAAGGGCCTTTTTCATTAAACAAGGATAACATTATTCCACACAGATACATTTACTTTAACCATATACCTTAATGGTCATTTATAATGTGTAGAAACAGTAGCATCAAAGGGTGAGTATCAAGTTCAAGAACCCACCATTTTTAAGCAAGTATATACCGGTATGTTGTTGAAAGTGCTTACAATCTAAGAGCAGCTCTTGTTTTCAAAACATGAATATCTAATTGTAAAATTAAACAAAAACTAAATGCAGATTTTCTCATTTGCAAAGTATTTTTTCACAACAAATGTAATCTGACAAATGATTCGGGGTATGATTACACTAACCTCTGAGAGTCTAGTTATTCCTCTGAGGTAGTGTGGTTTGGGATGAGTTATAGAAGTTTGGTATGTCTCAACTACATGACTATCTTTTGTCGTGTTTATTATTGTGTAGTCTGTATGGGAGAGGTGTGAGTTGATGAGCAGCTCTTTGTGAGTACAGCAGGACACAAATATGTATATTGTGTATTCTCACAGACAGAACTGTGTATGTACAGTGCAGGACTCACCGCACAGTAAAAGGAAAGGCTGAATAAACAGAAATTGCATCAGCCTGACTGGACCCAGCTGGTACCTTAGATCAGATCAGCTGTGATACAGTCTTGTGTGCGTAATCTGATGTGGTGGCCAGAAGAAAAACTAAACATTCCAATATTTTCCACTTTTCTCTTGCTCATTCCTTTCAGCAGCTGAGGACTTATCCAGTAATGGCATGTCTGGTGATAGCTCAGGGTTTGAGGATGCAGCAGCCTTCCCCCCTCCTCCCCCACCCACAGAAATCAGCCTCCTAGAGCTGCCACCCAAGACGCTGCCTCAGCCCGGCACTGAGCCTTTCCATATCAAGGAGCTTGAGATTTGGCCCAGTGTGTCATCTCTGCCTCCATTACAGATAGGCTCAGAGGTAGAGGACACGGATAAGGGAAAAGGGTCTATACAGAATGGCCGACCCTCAAATCCTCCATCACCACCAAGCCCACCTAAAGCAACCACACCCCCACTCCCACCTCCACCTCCACCTCTGCCACAGTCTGACACTATGACAGCCCAAAGTCCAGCCCAGGTGGCACCAGCCTCACCTTCATCCCCAGGCAAGCTGTCTCCATCCCCTGGGAAGGACGGTCCTCCACTGCCTACCAAGCCTAAACCAAAGCTGTGAGTACCTGTCGTGTCCCCATGTGTCTGTGCCCCAGGGGAAGGCTAGTCACCAGGGAGGGCTGGGTGGGAGGTAGACAGACTGGGAGGCCTGTCTGAGGTCTGGTGGAAATGATAGTGTCTCATCTTTGTGAAAGGGTTAAAGGGGAATCCCAGGTCTTTTAAGAACAAAAGCATTCCCCTGCCTTTATGCTGGTGTCAATGTGGCATCGTGTTTGCCAGGGCAAGCCTGCCAGCTGCTGCCTGTCTGTGGCTGTAAACAGATCTGTGTGGCTTTTGCTGGATGGCTCCTATTGATTATGTCTGACCTCGGATGCTCAGCCCAGGTCAGAGCTGTTGTATTTCTTTCTGTGAGCTCTATAGGGATCAGGTAGGATGTCACTGTTATTAGAAGAGAGTTGGACATTGAATGGCTTATTTTCAATGGTCCTGCGCATGGATTATTTTTTTTACCTCACTCGCTGATGCATTTCTTTGTCATTAAAGGTTTTTTGCCTTTATTAGCAAGAGTACAATACAGAGCGCTTACAAAAAATATTGATGATAAATGACAGCCATACACAATTATAGCATGTTCTTTCACTCTTTGGTTGTTTTTGAGATATTGATTTTCCTCTCTTCTCTTTGTTTAACTTTTAGCCACCCTAGCAGATGGCAATGCCTGTCTGGTTGTCGGTTGGTTTTTACAAACAAAAAATAAATAAATAAATAAATAAAAAACTTGCATAGACATTCATGATGATCATGATTCATGATTCTTGATCACCTGACTTTTTTTCTAGTACCACTATGAAGTTGACATTTGCGGGTGAGAGTAAAATATCTCAAAAACTATTCAACTATAGATGTTCCAAGTTCACTACGAAGTGTAATAACTATAGTGATCCCCTGACTTTTTCATGATAATCAGGTCAAAATTTTCACTTATTCAATGAAATATCTCAGCTACCACAAGATGGATTGGCGCTAAGCTTTGTGTAAACATTAATTGTTCCCAAATCATGATATGATGACCTAATCACTTAGGTGATGCCCTGAATTTTGGTTGGATTTCAGTAAAATGTGGTGCAGATATTCATGGTGCCCAGAGGATGTACTGTAAAAAACTTCCTGATCCAGTGACCTTTCATCTAGCGCCTTCATCGGGTCAATTTCAAAACATTTCTCCTTATCCAGTACTTTTCATTATGACCAAATACATTTCTTTAGTTTGTCTTTGGTGCTAATTAGAAAATATTAGCATGCTAACCCTCTAAACTAAAATGGTATTTGCTACATTATACCTGCTAAACATCATAATGCTAGCACTGCTGACATTCGCATTTAGCTCAAAGCACCACAGAGCCACTACCCTCTTAGTCTTGGTTTTGCTCTTATTTGTTTTGGTATTCTTAAAAATTTCTCTTATAGTTTGGCTAAACTTACAGAGATAGGGAGCTTTTTTGTGGATGTTTTTAATATTACAATATGATGACTGTCAGTATTTAACGATACAATCAGTATATCCCATCAAAAGCAGATGGTTACCAGTGTTGCCATGGGTTTTGACATTTAGACATTAGCCTGTGTTTAGACTAGAGTTTGGTTACAGTGCAGTAAAGCTTTGTTCTTGCATTGCACAGTCAATTTCCACTGCATGTGTACTGGATTTGATACTGCTGTTTGCTGCTACATTAATGCACATCTTTTGGCATAAATGTCATGACATGTTAATTCTGTGCTTCCAGAGCTGAGAATATAGAGGAGGAGACAGAAAATGACAGGTAAATATTTGGCTGTGAGGGTGATGCTCTGGATGTGATTTGAGTGGCGCCACATGAAGCCTCATTATTCAAGCTATCATGGAAGCAAACACAGACACAACAGCAGAAATAATGTTACGGCACATGTCATTTCTGAATATTTTCATGTAAATGACTTTCCATTATTATACTGTAGGATGATAAATCGGTGGCAGCGGTTAGACAAGAACCGAGTGGAATCAGCTGAGCATCTACAATTAGCATAAATTACCCATGTTTGTTGGTGAAGAATGTGCATACCCTGGATGAACAGGTCTAATGTGGATACAGAGGAACTGCTGTACGTGAAATATGATGTTTTCATCCAATTTTTATATAGAGCCAAGTAGCCTTTCAGATTTTAGTTTTGCCATTGTACTTCTTATGCAAATTTCACAATAAAAGTGAATTATTGCATTTTAAATCTTACATCTGGCAAGATAGACCAATATACCAATTTTTCATAAAAAAAATATTTTCTTTCTCCCATGAAATATAGTTAATGAGATGGTTCTTAGGGATATGACAAATACTGTAAAATAAATTGACTTTTGTCTCTAGATCTGACTTCTATGCTAGATGAATGGGGCAGTAGAGCTGCTTCTCTCAGAATGTATCCACAATAACAACATGGATACACTTCTAACAACAATAAGCTCCCAACTGTGAAGCAGTTAGAAAGCATATGCCACCCCTGTCCTGCCTTCTTCCCTTTAAATTCTGTAATTACACAGTAAAAGCAGCAGCCCTGCCATTAACCAAAGGTTACGGTTTTGTCAGACTGCTTCCTCAGGTAACATGTAGGATCAAAGACTAACCACTTTTAACATAAAACCCTGGAGTTTATCATTGAGTTCATCATGTCCTGTTTGTCGTGTTGCACATCCCTTACAGGCTGATGTATTGTTTTTTCTCTTTGGGCCACATGCAGATATGAAACATCAACAGATCACAGCAAAACCAGCAGTCTTTATAAATGTTTGTTACTCCTAGTTTGTTACTTTAATTGCTTGTTTACATTTTACAGGAGTTCTTTTTAATAAGCACCATGACTTTCTAACAAACCACTTTGTTGAAATGCTATAAATTCAATAGACAGAGTGGAAACTATGAGCCTTATGTCGCATATTTTTAATGAAATCTTTAATGAAATAGCCTATTTGTTTTACTGCATTTACATAAAGCTAGTGGGGATCAGAAAGAATCGTTTTATTGAGTGTGCATGTTCACTGAGCTTAAGATATGACTGTCTAGACTTTAATACTTAATTATTATTATATAAAAAACTTTTTTTCTGGATTTCTGAACATTTAAGCTACTCATATGCAGATATCCCAAAAAAGTATTCTAGGTTTTTACAGCACCCATTATTATATAATGGGTGCTGTAAAAACCTAGAATACTGTTTAAAGGAACTTCTGCATTAAATAGCATTACAGACTTAACACCAGCGTTTATAGCTATTGGAGAGATGTGTTCATGTTCACAAATCTAGAATAAATTGTTCCAAATCATAGGAATAACACACTGGAAGCCTGTGTAAGGGATGATTTTTGCTTCAATAACACTGAGCTGATGAGAGGAGGAAGTTGTTGTGTGACTTGGCAGGCAGGAGGACTGCAGGAGACCTGAGCTGTGCAAACAGACCTGCTGTTTTTTCTGTGCTGAAGGAAGAGAGAGCAGGGTTGGTAGGTATTTGGGTTTGATGCCCGGTGTTGATGTCAGACGTCAGATTAAGAATCAAAGGAAATTCTCAGGGGAGAGGCTCAGATTGGCTAGTTGGATCTGAACCAACCCCTAGGTTTGGAGAAAAAGCAGAGTTTTACCACATGCTAGAGAATAAATAGATTGCAAATTGGCAGCGCTTTCTCAGTGTATGCGCCTCTGGAATTGAGCTTATTTTTGCAGGCACCTTGTAGTAATTCTACACATAGACACAAATAATATTTGGTTACTTGCTTTAGTTGGCTATTTGATTGATGTGTTATTGTCAGACTACTGTAAGCAGATTAAAATTAACAACCCATGTATAGCCAGTGTTTTGTTGCCCATAAACTGATGAAGCATACAAAGCAAACATATTTTGCTAAAATGAGCAAATGTTTTATGTGTAAGGCAACATAAGGTTATCTTGGGATTGGAGCCTTCTTGATTGTGAGAGATAGTCTGGAAGATAAACTGGGCTTCCTGCAGAAGTGTCTAAATAAAGACCTGAAAGGACTACTGTATAGCTATGAAACATATTATGAAATGATTCTTCATCTCAAAGTATGAGATGAGCCATTATTCAGCTGGATGACACTTTGCATCTCGACATCAGGTCACTGCCATGTAGGCCAGAGTTATGGTCTCTCCTGATCCAACAATACAACTCCCCTCCATTCAGGGCTCTCCAAGATTCAACTGCACACATGTGACCTTCAGTAGAGCCACATCATGATAGACCGATAACACCTGGAGCTTGTAAATCTTTAAATTTGTGAGTATGTGTGTGTGTGTGTGTGTGTGTGTGATGGATGAGGTGTCAGTGCTGCCGTGTCCAGTGTCAGCTTTCCTATATTGATAAACGCACATGTTTTCCTAGGGTGACATTTCACAAGAACGTTTTGTGTTTCTTTCTTGCTGGTACAAGTATATGTGGTTAGATTGGCAGCTTTGCTATTGAAATAACGCTTTCCTTGTGTTGCTAAATCACCTATAATATCTCAAGGTTGTGGGAAAAGTCCACATATGATGCAGTGAAAAATTAGGGCCTGATAGTGATCAACCATTTCAAGAAACCACTTCACTGAGACTAAGAAACAAGTCTACAAGTCAAAGGAGGAGATAGTCAAGAGTGTCAAGCCAGTGCAACGCGTCGAAGGTGTGACCACCATGATATTGACCGTGATAATAGGGGCAAAGCATTATATTATAGGTTGGGATAATGTCTGGGTGGGCGTCACACACCAAGCAGAAGTTGCAGAGGCAACAATTATCCTAAAACCATTCCAAAGCTTAATCTCTCTTTCACAAGACCAGGAATCAACTCTTGACAGTCAAAATTGTTCTCTTGCACGGATTTCATTTCAGAGTGCTTCTTATGTGTCAGTTGAACACTTACAAGCAACGTGTCTGTGGATTTTTATTAAAATGCAGCTCTACAGTATGTAAGATTAACGATGATGAAAAACAGGCATACATCTGCACTCAACAGGACTTCGATGTAGCCATATCTCTCTACACTAATTTCATGTTTTTGCAAAAGAGAGTGATTAAAGTTCAAGTTTTTTGCTGTTCATTTGTTAAAGAGATGCTGTAATAATTACTCACTGACTGGCTAATCTATGTTGGTTGGTAGCATAAAGTGAGACGGTGAAAATGGAGAGAGACAGAAGTTGTGTATATAAATTCAAAAAAATACCTTCTGTCCAGTGCCATTTAATCATAAGGTGTTTTGAACTGATATTTTAAGTGCAGCTTAATTAAAGCTTAATTAACTCTGGGGGAAGGAAAGTCTATCCACATCTGCTTGGGCCAAGGGACGAAGTGGAGAGGAATTATGCAGCAGACAGTGTGCTACAATTAGCTCAGGGAAGTTACTGTCATATGCAAAAATACTGTCAGACATTCTTAGCCTGACCCAACACACAATACACAAACACACACACAAGGGCTGGGAGTCATTGCCTTAATCACTGTTATGATATTAATAAGAATCATTTTCTGATATCCATACACTGTTAATCATAGTATAAAATATGAACTAATCTAATTAATGTTGAATGCTATTAATTAATTATTAGATCACAATAAACCATGTTTTAAGGACACTTTGCTTGGGATCATTGATTCATGATATTCAACATGATATGACCATCACGTACAATTCCACCGAAAGTCGATATGCCGTAATATTGAATTATTGCACAGCCTTATCTCACACAAACACAGGGCACACACAGAAGCTTGGAACAACAGTGTGTAAGTGACACCATGTGTTACTTACCAACTTTAGTGCTTGCAGTCGCTGAGTACGTACACATATGAGGACTGGCCTGATCCACTTTAATGCGGCCTGTATTGCATACAACATGACCTTATACCTCTCAATCCCTGTCCGCTGACATAATTGCCATACCACTGAGATTAAATGATTTCTGCAGTAGCTCCAAACCTCTTTAACCCCAGTGAGGCTGTTGTCAGGGGAACAGCATGCAAACTGAAAGCAACAAACTGCTCTTTGCCAACAGCCCTCATCAGTCTCCCACTGTCACACACACAGAACTTGTGTTTACAGTGTGAGGCCGCAGCAGGTGATTGGTTGATGGTCTGTCCCTCTGTATTTTTTTATATCAGACTACCAGTAGTCTGCTTGTTGTGTTAAATTTAAAGCAGGATCTATATTCTGTCTGTGCTGCATTGCTGAGCAGGGAGTTCTGGCTGCCAGGATTTGTCGCATATCTGCACGGTGACTCAGAGCTTCCTCTCAGCAGTGTGTTTGTGTTTACGAGGTGCAAGTCATGAACTCTCTAATGAAGTATTAACAATCACTTTCTTGTCGAGGTGTTGCTTGTGGTTTTATGGAAAGCGGGAAACATGGATGTTAAACTGGCTACAAACTGAGAACTTTGCTTGTGGTTCATCCTCATCAAACGTCTAATTAAAAATGGACGTAAAACTGACTGTGGATCAGTTCCATAATGGATACCTTCACTTCAGTGAATGTAGGCCGGGGAGGTTAATCATTCCAAGCAAATGGGGAAAAAAGGCAGAAACAGAAAGTTAGTTGTCATCAGGGAGAGAAAGAGCTTGTGCAACAGCATAAAAATCAAAATGAATTCACCAGAGACACAAGAGAGCAGGAAAAGCAGATAATTTCACATCAACCCCCAGAGTCAGAGATGGGCAGTCCTTAAAAGGACATGGGAGTCATAGGATTGGCTGAGACACCAGACCAACCAACCACTGGATTGGTCGGTCGGGCTAGAATGACCTGCATG